AGCCCTACCTTCCCTACTTTTGGATTACCGCTGGACCACGCACGCCAGTACCAAACATACACCTTTTCAACTGATGTACGGAAGAATTCCGAAGCTGTCAGTGGATCTCGACGTTAACATTTGGCCGCGAAATGATTTATCTCTGCATCAACTTCAACAGACAAGACGTGAAGCCCGGAATAACCTGACGAAGGCGCAGGAGGGTACAATGCGCAAGTCTAGAATGCAAACTAGACGGACGACCAGTGTGCTTCCGGTTGGATCTAAAGTAAAGTATTAGCAGCATGTTGGGGGATTCACGAGCGGTCCTGGCTCGAGGAAGTTAAGTCCCAAATGGAAAGGTACATACCGCATAGTTGAACAACGCCATCCTGTGTACAAAATTCAACGGATGAACGAAGTCCGTCGTGTACATCGGAACGATCTCGCAACATGGCATGAGGAAATGTAAATCAACAAAAGAAATTCCAGACTCCAACCACACATGGTCGGAGATGAAGCCGCCAAACGTCGAAAATCGGAGACAAACGCGAGCACGATCCAAGAAACATTCGTCCATGGATCAAGACATGCAGAGATCCCTTCCACCGAAGGGAAGAGCGTTGTGAGATACTACTCACTTGTGAGTAGTACGAAAAAAGATGCGACCGGCGGTTTCTTTCAATGACCAAGTCAACAAGACCTGTTGGAGCACACTACTGACGTTCGGTATGGTGAATACAAGAATGCGCATCTAATGGTGACTCGTCCATGAACTATCCCGTGTGCGTGTGGGAAATCTGCAACCTTGTTCCAGATGAGATATTTTATTGTATGAACGAAAATTTAACCATATCTCGAACGCTATTGGCAATAAACAACTATCCTCGACCAATACCGTCTTGTGGAATTATAACACTACTACTACTACTACTACAACTGCAATCATTACAGTGACCGAGAGTGGGAGACAATCCAGACAATATTTTGGCATGTATTTTATTTAGTGGAATACCGCTTGCGAATTTCACTCACGATTTCATTCAGCGATTATCTCCAATATAACTTGGAACAGGCAGCCAAAAACTGAAGACGTTTTACTTTTGACATTGAGTCCATAAATATTTGAGCCCGTGCAAATAACCTTATACCCGGGCACTTGATTCTCTACTTGGAACCGTATACCCCGTTCTACAACCCAATCCAAGAAGGTTTCAGCAAGCTTAAGATGATAATCGAGAACCGCTTACTGGAGAGGATTTGTCATAAGTGCCCTAAGGGACCGCAATGAGAAGCCAGCGATGTCAACCTCTGGAGAATGCTTGCCGCATGGTACTTCGAATTACTTCCCGATCAAAAAGTTCTTCCCATGATCAACATTGTCTGACGTTCATTGAAATCACTCTGAAGAAACATGACTTAAAACAACATAGTTTGACATATGAAACTTTGGAAAGAAAGTGAAAACGAGTGTATTTGAGTGGTTTACAGTTCATGTGAATTTTGCTAGTAATTACTCAGAACGAAATGATAGTCTAGAGAAGTCAAATCATTGGAATGAGATTTGTAATTGCCAACAACCAAGCTCGAGTCAATCACAGTTTGAAAATTTCCCGCGAAACGTTATTAAGGTCAACCACTGCTAGGGTATTAGCAATCGAAATAACGATATATTACGTCAATAATCCGCCTGCCGCATTCGGCTCCTATCCTTGACAAATAGATAGACAGACAGACAGACATGTATGAACACAAACGCACTGAATAAGTT